TCTGTCCTCTCAGGACGTTACGTTTGACGAGTTGGTTCCTTACTACCGTCTCTTCCCCTACTGCACTGCTCCCCTCCCCCCCCTTCCGCTCTTCCTTGCGTCCCCCCCCGGTAGACCCCCTCCCCCCTCAGGGTCCTTCCCCCTCAGGTGTGTCCCAGGTAGACGCAGTCGAGCCTGTCGAGGTAGCTGTTGACTCTAGTGCTGCTAGGGGTGCTGAGCCTGCGGGTGTCGGGTCTGGGGGTGCTGAGCCTGGGGGTGCGGAGCCTGCGGGTGCTGAGCTTGGGGTTGCTGAGTCTAGGGGTGCTGAGACTGCGGGTGCTGAGCGTGGGGTTGCTGAGTCAGGGGGTGCGGAGCCTGAGGGCGCTGAGCTTGCGCATGTGAAGTCTGGAGGTGCTGAGCCTGGCGGTCCTTCGGGTGCTTCGTCCCGTCGGGAGCCACACTCTCCACAGCAGCTGCGTAAGTGGTTTTCTCGGCGTTGGAGCCGTGCTGCTAGAGCTGGTGGTGCTACGAGCGCTGGAGGTCCTACTGCTGCTAAAGCTGCTGGGGGTTCTAGAGCCACAGGTCCCAGAGGTGCTCGTACTGGCAGTATTGGAGCTGCTGGGCCTAGTGGTGCTGCTGGAGCTGGAGCTGCAGGCAGTGCGGGAGCTGGCAGTGCTGTTGGAGCCGGTGCTCCTGTGGGTGCTGGAGTTGGCGCTACTGGAGCAGCTGGAGGTGATGCTGGAGCTGGTGGTGCTGCTGGAGTTGGAGCTCCCGCCTGGGGTGCTGGTGCTGTCCCTGCTGGTTCTGGAGGCGCTGCGCGGCCGCGGTCGTACTACAATCCGCTCCTTCAGCAAGTTCTTGGTCTTCCGCATTCTATTGGTCCTGCTCCTTCCTTAGAGTGTCCACTGCCTGTCCATTTGCACTCAAAGTTGCAGCCCGCCTCCCCACTGCGTGCTCCTTCTCCTTACACTGGTCCGACTGGAGGTCTTGCTGAGCGTCGTGAGCTTGCGTCTCGTCCTGTGTCGCCTGTTCGTGCTGCTAGCACTAGTCGTCGTGGTTCGCGCCAGCGTCCTCCTCCTGTCCCTGGCACGCACCGGATGGCTCTGTGCCCTTCCACTGATCCGCAGTGTGTCCCTCTGCCGTCTCCTCCTGCGTCCTCACTTCCTGCCCTTTCTGACTTGGAGTCTGACTCCCTTCGTGCAGCTAGTCCTACTATCACGCGTCTCCTGGCCACTGTTGTAACTGACCCTTCCTTTGAGTCCACTGCTGCTTACTGTCGTCTAGATTACGCCACGAGTCTGGTTGCTAAGTCTGAGTCTGTCTGTCCTCCGTCCGTCGCGGGTGAGTGTGCTCTTGGCACGGACGTCCTTGAGGACAGGCACAAGGAGTTTGAGTGCTTTGCAGCTGCTGTACCTCATCTCGTGTCCACACTGATTGCACCAGAGGGAGACCCGGATGCACCAGACATCCCGACCCCGCGCTCTTACGCAGAGGCGATAAAGGGTCCCTACTCCTCTAAACGAAAATCAGCCATGGAGGCAGAGATGGCATCCTGGAAGTCCACAGGCACTTATGTTGATGAGGTTTCCCCTCCTGGGGCTAACATTTTCAGTGGCATGTGGATTTTCAGGGTGAAGCGGCCGCCGGGTTCTCCGCCTGTCTTCAAGGCTCGTTACGTTGCTCGAGGCTTCACTCCGCGACGGGGAGTTGAATTCTTCCAGACCTTCTCCCCGACCCCGAAGATGACCACTCTTCGAGTTCTACTGCACGTCGCTGCTCAGCGTGACTACGAGCTTCACTCTCTTGACTTCAGCACTGCTTTCCTACAGGGCAGCCTGCACGAGGAGATCTGGTTGCGCTGCCCACCTGGCTTCACTGAGTCGTTTCCTCCTAGTACCCAGTGGAGCCTCCGGCGGCCAGTCTACGGTCTCCGCCAGGTGCCCCGCGAGTGGCACGATAGACTGAGGACTACGCTTGCGGCCCTTGTGTTTGCTCCTTCGACTGCTGACCCGACACTGTTTCTGCGCATCGACACTACTCTGCCGCCTGTCTACATCCTCGTAAACGTCGACGACTTGATTTTTGCTACTGCTCACACTGCTGGACTGGCCCACCTGAACTCGGAGCTGCAGAAGAGACACACGTGCACAGACCTGGGTGAGCTGCGCAGCTATCTTGGCTTGCAGATCACCCTGGACAGAGCACGGCGCACCATTACCTTGACATGGTGCAGCGGGTCCTTCAGCGCTTCCTCTTCACGTACTCCTCGCCTCAGGCCACTCCTCTGTCTCCTCTGCGTGACCTTTGAGGACCACTCGACGTCGCCCTCCAAGCACTAGCCCCATGCCCGACGTACTGCACACGTAGCGCAACACCCTTTTCGCTGCAGCCATGTGCTCTGGTCGGTGTGTCCCAGGAGCAACATAGGAGTGGCCTGAGGCGAGTAGACAGAGGAGTTGCCTGAGGAGAGGAATACGTGAAGCCAAAGCGCTGAAGGACCTGCTGCACCATGTGTGACTGAGTCAGGGTAATGGTGCGCTGTGCTCTGTCCCAGGTGATCTGCAAGCCAAGGTAGCTGCGCAGTTCACCCAGGTCTGTGCACGTGTGTCTCTTCTGCAGCTCGGACTTCACGTGGGCGAGTCCAGCAGTGTCAGCTGTGGCAAAGACCAAGTCGTCGACGTACACGAGGATGTAGAACGGCGGCAAAGAGGTGTCGGTGCGCAGAAACAGCGACGGGTCGGCTGTAGAAGGAGCGAACCCAAGAGCCGCAAGTGTGGTCCTCAGTGTGTCGTGCCACTCACGGGGCGCCGGGCGGAGACCGTAGACTGGCCGCCTGAGGCTCTACTGGGTACCAGGAGCAAACGACCCAGTGAAGCCAGGTGGGCGGCGCAGCCAGATCTCCTCGTGCAGGCTGCCCTGCAGGAAAGCTGAGCTGAAGTCAAGAGAGTGAAGCTCGTAGTCGCGCTGAGCGGCTATGTGCAGCAGCACCCGAAGAGTGGTCATCTTCGGGGTGGGAGAGAAGGTCTGAAAGTAGTCAACTCCCTGCCGCTGACTGAAGCCTCGAGCCACGTAACGTGCCTTGAAGACAGGCGGAGAACCCGGCGGCCGCTTCACCCTGAAAATCCACATGCCACTGACAATGTTCGCCCCAGGTGGGGGAACCTCGTCGACGTAGGTGCCAGTGGACTTCCAGGAAGCCATCTCTGCGTCCATGGCTGACTGCCACTATGAGGAGTAGGGACCCTCGATCGCCTCAACGTACGATCGAGGAGTCGGGATGTCTGGTGCATCCGGGTCTCCCTCAGGGGCAATCAGTGTGGACACGAGATGAGGCAAAGCAGCAGCAATACACTGGAACTCCTCTTGTCTGTCCTCAAGGACGTCCGTGCTAAGAGCACACTCACCCCCGACGGACGGAGGATAGACAGACTCAGACTCAGCAACAAAACTAGCGGCGTAGTCTAGACGACAGCGAGCAGCAAAGTCGACAAGCTCAGCCACTAAAGCAGACGCAGCAGTGGACTTAAAGGAAGGGTCAGTGACAACAGTGGCCAGGAGACGCGTGACAGTAGGTCTGGCAGCACGAAGAGAGTCAGAAGCCGGGTCAGGGAGAACAAGAAGAGAGGAATCTGGAGGAGACGGCAACGGGACACACAGAGGAGCAGTGGAAGGACGCAGTGCCATCTGGTGTATGCCTGGGACCGCAGGAGGATGCGGAGCACGACGACTAGCGCGAGCAGCACGAACAGGCGACACAGGACAAGACGCAGGCTCATGACACTCAGCAAGACCTCAGTAGGACCAGTGTAGGGAGAAGGAGCAGGTAGAGGGGAGGCGGGCTGTAACTGTGACTGCGACTGGACTGGCTGTGGACACTCTAAGGGAGGAGCAGGACCAGTAGAAGGTGGGAGACCAAGAACCTGCTCAAGGAGCGGAACGAAGTACGGCCGCGGGCGCGCAGCGCCTCCAGAACCAGCAGGGACAGCACCAGTACCCCCAGCGGCAGCACCAGCGCCAGCGGCACCTCCAGCTCCAACAGCGCCAACTCCAGCACCCTCAGACGCACCACCGCCAGCAGAACCACCAGCGCCAACACCCCCAGCAGCTCCAGCTCCAGCAGCTCCAGCAGCACCAAATCCAGCATGACCGGTAGCTCCAGTACCGCCAACAGCTCCTGTAGGACCAGCTCCAGCAGCCCCAGCAGCACCCCCAGGCCCAGCAGCTCCAGCACCACTAGTACGAGCACCTCTGGAACCAGCAGCAACAGTAGTTCCTCCAGCTCTAGCAGCACGGCTCTAGCGCCGGGCAAACCACTCGCGCAGCTCCTGCGGAGAGAGTGGCTCCCGCCTCAACGAAGCACCGCCGGCGGCCACACGAGCAGACCCAGCGCCCCCACGCTCCGCACCCCCCAGGCTTCGCACCCCCAGGCTTCGCACCTCCAGACGCAGCACCCCCAGGCTCAGCACCCCCAGTCTCAGCACCCCCAAGCTCAGCACCCCCAGACTCAGCACCCGCAGGCTCAGCACCTCCAGACCCGGCACCCGCAGGCTCAACACCTCTAGCAGCACCAGAGTCAACAGCTACCTCGACAGGCTCGACGGCGTCTACCTGGGACACACCTACCGGGGCAGGACCCTGAGGGGGGAGGGGGTCTACCGGGGGAGGAACTGGTCAACCCCCCTATCCTGTAGATCAGCTCCACTCACCAAGTTCGTAGAGAACGAGGGGAGGTAGAGACCTGACAGGGTGCCAGAGGGGGCTGCCGGACACCTTAAGACAGTGGAGAAGCTAGCAAGGACAGGACCCCAGAGGGGTCCGCCAGGGAGACCGCAATCGGCCGACTAAGCGGCGTAAGCGTGGTGTGGTCTCGAAAGAAGGAGCGGGAAGCACCCGAGTCAAGGGTGAAGGTGTGTAAGGCCTGTGCCGACGTGGTACCTGAGAGAGCAGACTCACCAGCACCTGGGGCAGCAGACGCACTAGCACCTAGAGCAGCAGCCTCACCAGCACCTAGAGCAGCAGCCTCAATGCGGGTCAGGCGGAACACACAGGTAATAGTCACCCTCATCACTAGCAGACATAGCATACATGGCAGGAAGAATAGCATCATAATCAAGATCAAAGATAGCAACCCCCGCTCTAGACAGCTCTCCCCAGCGAGGGATCTCAGAGGCCTCAGGGAACTGGTGTTGCCATGCGTCCGTCAGGCGGCCGAAGCAGCGCTGGGTGGAGTGCGGGCCCCCGCACTGCTCACCAGCGCGGTCGCCGGTGCGGAGAACGTACGTGCAGGGACCCGTACCCCCACCGCGCTGACGCGCAGCGTACCACTCACGAAGCTGCTGAGGGGACATGGTCTCACGACTGCGCTGCTGCTGCTGGCGCGTACCACCACCGGAGCCACTCCTCTGCGCAGAGCTGCGACCAGGTCCACTGCTGCTGCCGCCGCCTCCACCACCTCCGCCGCCTCCGCCGCCTCCACCACCTCCGCCGCCTCCGCTCCCTCCGCCACCGCCGCCGCCTCCTCCGCCTCCACTGCTGCCACCGACACCTCCACCCCCGCCACCACTCCCACCACCACCCCCACCCCCTCCACTGCCTCCACTACCACCTCCACCGCCCCCTCCAGCCCCTCCAGCGCCCTTGCCCGTCTTGCCCTTGCCGGTGTGGCGTCTCCCGCTTGGGGCAGACGCAGCGCCGACCGACTCGAAACCAACGAGGTCGGCCGCAGCAGCAGAGGCAATAGAGGGCAAGAGGGGAGAGGGGGAACACCCCTCAAAGACGGGGGTGCGAGGGTCACCACGAGAGGCTCCTACAGCAACTATGCTCTTCTCTGCTGCTAGGAGGCTCTTCTCGAGGAGGTCAACGGTGAGAGTGGTGGGGCAAACTGAGAGGAAGTGGTCCCTGACTACACGGAGAGAGGCAGGGAGCCGGGTGACTATGTAGTAGAGGGTGATGTACATGGGGGGGGGGGTTCTTGGCGCAGAACTCAGCAGAAAGCGCAGCGTGGTAGCGAGTGTCACTAGTGCGGAGGTGTGTAATGAGGTCCGCGACTGTGGGGAAGGCAGCAAGGTCAGGGAAGAGGTACGGTAGCATGAGGCGGCTAAGTGCAGTAGTGGCAGGGGAAGAGTAGTGTGCAATTACAGCGCCGTACAAGGTCTGAGCACTCTTGTACTGGCTAAAGTGTGCACGCTCAGTGGTCGGTAAGTGGCGACGCACAGCAAGGCGAGCAGTAGTATCGCATGTGGCCCACTGTGAGCGAACACTGCTGTCAGCAGTAGGAGGCGGGGCAGGAGAGGCACCAGAGGTGAGATTGAACAGAGAGAGTCCGTCTGCCCTATCGCACTGGAGAAACAGCTGGAGGTCATCGACCCAGACCTCAAAGTCAACGGCACGGCCCTCAGCATCAAAAGTAAGGACAATGGGGGTAGCCATGACTATAGTGGCCTAGGAGGGAGTGAGCTCACTAGTCTGAGGAAGGAGGGCCGGGGCGCACCGGTAGGAACAGCAGCGGCTCGACAGTAGGGCGGCTCGGTGGCTCGGCGGCAGGGCGGCTCGGCTGCTGGGCGGCTCGGCGGCTGGGCGGCTCGGCTGCTGGGCGGCTCGGCGGCTCGGAGGCCCGGCTGCTGGGCGGCTCGGCTGCTGTGCGGCTCGGCTGCTCGGCGGCTCGGCTGCTGGGCGGCTTGGGTGCTCCGAAGGTGGGCGGCTCGGCTGCTGGGTTGCTCGGCGGCTCGGTCGCTGGGCGGCTGAGCGGCGACAGGGCCACTAGGGGAGGGCGACGGGGCCACAGGTGACGGCTACGGGGCCGCAGGTGGCGGCGACGGGGCCGCAGGTGGCGGCGGGGCCGCAGGTGGCGGCTGCGTGGCCGTAGGTGGCGGCGACGGGGCCGCAGGGGGCGGCGACGGGGCCGCAGGTGGCGGCGATGGGGCCGCAGGTGGCGGCGACGGGGCCGCAGCTGACGGCGAAGGGGCCGCAGGTGGCGGCGACGGGGCCGCAGGTGGCGGCGACGGGGCCGCAGGTGACGGCGACGGGGCCGCAGGTGGCGGCGACGGGGCCGTAGGTGGCGGGGACGGGGTCTCAGAGGGGCCGCAGAGGGGGGGCCGCAAGGGGCCTAGACGAGGCCACAGAGGGGGCCGCAAGGGGCCTAGACGGGGCCAAAGAGGGGCCGCAAGGGGCCGAAACGGGGCGGCGACGGGGCCGTAAGGGGCCGGAAAGGGCGCCGCGAGGGGCCGAAAGGGGGCCGCGCGAGGGCCGTAAAGGCGGCGCGAGGGGCCGTAAGGGGCCGTAGGGGCAGCGCGAGGGGCCATAAGGGGCGGTAAGGGCGGCGCGAGGGGCCGTAGAGGGCGGCACTAGGGGCCGTAAGGGCGGCGTAAGGGGCCGTGAGAGAGGCCACTAAGGGCGGCGCGAAGGTAGGGAGGGCACACAGAGCGCGAATCGGGCAGGAGTGAAGCACGCTCCGGGCAGGAAAAAAAATCGCGGTGGGCCCTAGGTAGCGTTCCCACTAGGGAACCTGCTCTGATACCATGTCAGAATCCCAACCACTAGACCATTGGGATAAAAGGGCTTCTTTCAATAGCGGGTCAGTGCGCCCATAACCTCCCAGGCAAACGCGCTTGTAACCCCCCGTAGGATCGATCGGGGATCTCACAGTGTGGCTCTACTGACACCCCCCTCACACTGGGAGGCCCAGGACTGAGACCAACATGTGCATACACCGGCCAACATGTGCATACACCGGGATTCGAACCCGAGACCGCTCTGATACCATGTTAACAAACGAGGAATGAATGCATTGAGCAGAATGAGGAGTACAAGTAGTAAACCCTTAAGTGTTGTACCCCATATGAACTGCCCCACTACAGCCTACACAGACTATAGCATATATGCGTGACACAAAAATCGTTGCAAGCTGTCAAACTATTATGTTGTGTGTGTTGTGTAGGCTGTAGTGGGGTAGCCCATATGGGGAACAACCCAATTAGGGTTAGTACTTGTACCACATTTCTCTTCAATGCATATATTCTCGCTTAGTCTTCTGACATGGTTTCAGAGCAGGTCCTGTTCCAGGACCGTTTTGTAGGGCCCACCGTACAGTTCCCTGCGTAGCGCGTTACCATGCCCGTAGCGCCCTACCCTATCCGTCGCACTGCCCCACCAGTCGCACTCATCTGCATGCGCGCCACCCTGCTGGCTGCCGCACTGCCTTGCCCTGCCCTGCGATGCGCTGCCTAGCGCGCGCTCTGCCTTGCCCTGCGTTGCGCCATCCCGCGCACGCCCTGCCCCGCGTTGCACTACCCACGCACGTCCTGCCCTGCGTCACGCCGCCCTGCCCCTACTGTCCGTCGCGTCGCGCGCCCGTGCTGCCCGTCGCGTCGCTTGCCCCTGCTGCGTGTCGCATCACGCGCCCCTGCTGCCCATCGCGTCGCGCGCCCCTGCTGCCTGTCGCATCATGCGCCCCTGCTGCCCGTTGCGTTGCGCCACCCGTGCGCCCATGCTGCCTGCCACGTTGCCCGTCCGCCCTGCCCCTGCCTGTCGTGTCGCCCGTCTGGGCTGCCCCAGCCCGCCTCGTCGCCCGTCCGCCCTGCCCCTTCCTGTCGCGTTGCCCGTGCGGGCTGCCCCAGCTCGCTGCATCGCCCGTCCGCCCTGCCCCTTCCCGCGCGCTGTCCTGCTAGCCAAGCGCCGCCCTTTCCTGCCTGTGCGCCGCCCTACCGGCCGAGAGCCGTCCTGCCCTGCCCGCGCGCCTCCCTGCTGGCCGCCGCGCTGTCCGCCCTGCCTGCGCGCCGCCTTGTCCTGGCCGTGCGCCACCCTGCCGTGCCTTGCGCGTTTCCCTAGTGCATGCCGCCGCCCTGCTCGTCACGCGCCACCCGGCCCTACCCGCTATGGCTTCTCTCAGTGTTCTCAATTTTGATTCAGAGGGTCGTCCGATCCAGTTCTATACGTGGTCGACGACTTACAGCTGAACATACAGAGCGACAACCTCTGGCCCCGTGTCTCCTTGCGGAAGACCTCGCTTACTCTGCGTTGGACGGGGGAGGTTGGCGATGCGTCGGTGTTCTGGGTCTGGGGCTCCCATGCCTTTGTCCGCGATACGTCTGCGGACAAGCTCTCCTTCCGCGCCATTCCCTGCGTCTTCCTTGGCTTTCCCCCTGACGCGCTTGGCTGGCAGTTTTACCACCCCACCTCGCGCCGTGTTCTGCCCTCTCAAGACGTCACGTTTGACGAGTCGGTTCCCTTTTACCGTCTCTTTCCCTACCGCACTGTCCCTCTCCCCCCCCCCCGCCGCTCTTCCTCCCACCAGGTCCTCCTCCGGTAGACCCCCTTCCCCCTTAGGGTCCTGCTCCCTCAGGTATGTTTGAGGTAGACCCACTCCCCTTAGCTGAGCCTGTCGATGTAGCTGTCGACTCTGGTGCTGCTGGGAAGGGGGGTGCTGCTAGAGGTGCCGCGTGTGAAGGTGCTGAACCTGAGCGTGCGGAGCCTGGGGGTGCGGAGCTTGGGGCTGCTGAGTCTGAGGGTGCGGAGCCTGGGGGTGCTGAGTCTGGGGTTGTTGTGTCTGAGGGTGCGGAGCCTGGGGGTGCTAAGCTTGAGTGCAGAGCCTGGGGATGCTGAGCCTAGGGGTACTGTGTCTGTTGGAGGTCCTCGTGCTGGAGGTACTGGAGCTGCCGGAGCTGGTGGTGGTGCTGCTGCTAGAGGTGCTGGAGGTACTGGAGGTCATGGAGCTGTTGGAGCTGGTGGTGTTGCACGTACTGGAGCTGGAGACCCTGGAGCTGGAGGTGCTGGCGCTCGGAGTGCAAGAGCTGTCGGTACTGGTGCTGGAGGCACTATGCAGCCACAACCGGATTCGTTCCACTACTTCGCTAGGTTCTTGGTCTTCCGTCTTCTACTGACCTTACTCCACCTCTACTGTGTCCACCGCCTGACCAGTCACAGCCACAGTTACAGCCAGCCTCCCCACTACCTGCACCTTCTCCTTACTATGAGCAGACAGACTCTCTTACGGAGCATCGTGAGCCTGCGTCTCGCCGTGCCTCGCCTGTTCGCGCTGGTCGCACTGGTCGTCGTGTCCCGCGTCCGCGTCCTCCTTCTGTCCCCGGCACTCACCTGATGACACTTCGTCCTTCCTTTGTTCCACAGCGTGTTGCCCTGCCGTCTCCTCCTGCGTCCTCTCTTCCTGACGGTGTGAAAGATGCTAAGTGTAGATGGGCTTAGGAGCCATAGCTTTAGTAGCTTAGTAGTTAAGTTAGAGAGTGCTCAAGGGGAATGTCGAGAGAGTTGCAAAGGAGAAAAGGATGGTTTCAGTATAGGCTCAAGGGTACAAATATGAAAGAAGAGAAGAAAGGTGCACCACCTAACAAGCAAGATAACTACACTAAGTCTTCATTGCAGGCAGTTATAAAGTGATGTATACAATAACATTCTGACAGACGGTTCGGACCCTGAGTCTAACTTAGTTCATGATGCTAGTGCTACTATCACACGTCTTCTAGCCACTGTTGTCACTGACCCTTCGTTCGATTCCACTGCTACGTCTGCCCTAGTTGCTGAGCTTGTTGACTTTGCTGCCAACTCTCGTCTTGTGTCCATGCTGATTGCACATGAGGGAGACCCGGATGCACCAGACATCCCGACGCCGCGCTCTTATGCAGAGGCGATTTCAAGACCCTACTCCTCTCGATGGCAAACAGCCATGGACGCAGAGATGGCATCCTGGAAGTCCACAAGCACTTAGGTCGACGCAGTTCCCCCTCCTGGGGTGAACATAGTTGATGGCATGTGGATTTTCAGGGTGAAGCGGCCGCTGGGTTCTCCGCCTGCCTTCAAGGCTCGTTACGTTGCACGAGGCTTTAGTCAGCGACAGGGAGTTGACTACTTTCAGACCTTCTCCCCTACCCTGAAGATGACCACTCTTCCGTTGCTACTGCACGTCGCCGCTCAGCGTATCTACGAGCTTCGCTCTCTTGACTTCAGCACAACTTTCTTGCAAGGTAGCCTGCACGAGGAGATCTGGCAGCGCCCCCCACCTGTCTTCACTGGGTCGTTTCCTACAGGTACATAGTGGAGCCTCAAGCGGCCAGTCTACGGTCCCCGCCAGGTGCCTCGCGAGTGGCACACCACACTGAGGACGACTCTTGCGGCTCTTGGGTTTGCTTCTTCTACTACTGACCCGTCGTTGTTCCTGCGCACCGACACTTCGCTGCCGCCGTTCTACATCCTCCGTACGTCGACAACTTGGTTTTTGCCACTACTAACACTTAGGCACTAGCCCTAGTGAAGTCGGAGCTGCAGAAGAGACACACGTCCACAGACCTGGGTGAGCTGTGCAGCTATTTTAGGTTGCAGATCATCCGGGATAGAGCACGGCGCACCATCACCTTGACTCATTCACACATGGTGCAGCAGGTCCTTCAGCGCTTCGGCTTCCGGTACTCCTCGCTACAGTCCACTCCTCTGCCTACCGAACACTCGCTCTCAACTCCACCTTTGGACTTGTTTGTAGAGCCGAATGGCCCGTATCTAGAGCTTGTGGGCTGCCTCATGTTCTTGATGACCTGCTCTCGATTTGACCTTTCCTACCCTGGGAGGCCGCTAAGAGGGTGTTGCGCTACTTGTGCAGTACGTCGGGTATGGGGCTCGTGTTTGGAGGATGGGCTCCAGTTCTTCTCGTGTTTGGGTTGACGACTTGGCTACGAAGCGGTAGTCACAGGGTTGCATATTCAGCCTTGTCTCAGATTCTGTTTCTTGGCGGTCTACCCGCTTGTCTTCTGTTCTCAGATCCAGTTGTGAGGCTGAGATCTACGCAGGGGCCATGGATGCGCAGGAGTTACGCTGGCTCACCTACCTGCTGACCGACTTGGGAGAGCGGCCTAGTTCTCCTCCAACTATGTACGTAAACAACAAGGCCATGATTGCCTTGTGTCCGGAGCACAGATTGGAGCACAAGATAAAGCACATTGCTCTGTGTTACTTCCTTGCTCAAGAGTTGGAGCAGCGTGGTCAGCTTCATCTTGGTTTCGTGGCCACTCGGGCCAACACTACTGATATACTCACCAAGGCATTTCAGCCTGGTGATCATCAGCGTTTATGTACCTTTTTAGGGGTTGTGCCTACTTTGCCTCACTTGCTCACTTCGCGATTTTGCTTATCCTGTGAGATAAATAATTATACCTGCATGCTTACTCTTGCTAGGTTGTGATCACTGTACTGCTTGTTCCCATTTAAATAACTCTACATGTGAACTTGCTTTGTGGCCTTTTGCTTGTGCTCAGAGTGTGTGGTGACTTTGTGATCCACCCTGAGCTTGCTTTGCTTTTCTTGACTGGTCTTGTGACATCTTGTTCTCCCCCACTTTGCCTATGGGAGTGTGTCAAACTATTATGTTGTGTATGTTGTGTAGGCTGTAGTGGGGTAGCCCATATGGGGTACAACCCAATGAGGGTTAGTACTTGTTGTTAGAACCATATTGTAGGCTGTAGTGGGGTTGACAATATGGGGTACAGTATTGTTAGGTTTTGCCTATACAAGCATTGTACTGTCATGTTTCTAGTCATTCTTGTTTCATACTTTGTGACATGGTTTCAGAGCAGGTTCATTAGTGGGAACGTTTTTTTACTGCCCTGCCCGAAGTACGCATTGCACTTGCCTCGCCTGCGCCGTCGCGCGCCCTGCCCTGCTGCCGCCCTTAGCGGCCCTGCCCTCGCGGCCCGTCGCGGCCCGTCGCGGCCTTACCCTAACGGCCCGTCGCGGCCCTGTTCTTGCCGCCGTTCGCGGCCCTGCCCTATCGCCACCCTTAGCGACCCACCCTAGCCGTCGTCGCGGCCCTACCCTACCGCCTTTCATCGCAGCCCTGCTCTCTGCCGCGCATCGCGGCCCTGCTCTCCGCCGCTCATAGCGGCCCTGCCCTGCTGCACCTTGTCGCGGCCCTACTCTCTGCTGCCCCGCCGCGGCCCTGACGCGGCCCTTACGCGGCCCTGACGCTGCCACGTCGCAGCCCTACCCTGCCAGCTCGTCGCGGCCCTGTCCTGCCAGTCGCGGCCCTGCCCTACTCCCACCCCTGGTGAGCGCCCGCCCTGCCAAGCGCGCCACTGCACACCTGAGTTCGCTTCCTGCATGCTTGAGCTCGTTTACCGCACACCTGAGTTCGCTTCCGGCACTCCTGAGCTCGCTTACCGCACACCTGAGTTCGCTTCCGGCACGCTTGAGCTCGTTTACCGCACACCTGGGTTCGCTTCCAGTACACTTGAGCTCGTTTACCGCACACCTGTGTTCGCTTCCGGCACACCTAAGCTCGCTTACCGCACACCTGAGTTTGCTTCCCGAATCTCGGCTACTACTGCTGCTACTGCCGCCATGGCTAGCCCTAGTATACTTACCTTCGATGCTGAGGGTCGAGCAGTTGATTTCGAGGTCTAGGTCAATGATATGCAGCTGTTTCTGCAGTGTGACTCTAGAGACAGAATCTCACTGTTCGATCACACATCCGGCGTCTCTGTTGCACCTGCTGCCGATGCTGACAGTGTAGTTCGCTCGCAGTGGTCCACGCGCGATGCTGCTGCTCGTCTTGCTGTTTGTAGTCACCTCCCGTCTGCTGAGCGCGCACATTTTAGCCAGTACAAGACTGCTCAGACTCTGTACGA